TATATATATATATATATATATATATATATATATATATATATATATATATATATATATATATATATATATATATATATATATATATATATATATATATATATATATATATATATATATATATATATATATATATATATATATATATATATATATATATATATATATATATATATATATATATATATATATTCAGATGATTTTCGGGTCTGGCGGAAACACTTTTAGCTTAGCTTAGCATAAATCATTGAATCGGATTAGACCATTAGCATCTCACTAAAAAATAGTCTGATTTTACTGTCCCTCTGGGATTAAACTGCTGATTTTTACCATTTTTTAACACATTCAGTTGATCTTTGGGTCTGGCGGGAACACTTTTAGCTTAGCTTAGCATAAATCATTGAATCGGATTAGACCATTAGCATCCGACTCGAAAATAGTCTAATTATACAGTTCCCCTATAGGGTTGAACAGTTATTTTTGCATTTTTTAAAAAACAATTGTGGGTCTGGCAGGGACACTTTTAGCTTAGCATAAATCATTGATTCGGATTAGACCATTAGCGTCTCGCTCAAAAAAAGTCTGACTATACAGTTCCCATAGGGTTTAACAGTTGAGTTTTAGCATTTTTAAATACATTGAGCTAATCTCCACGAACGCTTTTAGCTTAGCATAAATCATTGAATCAGATTAGACCATTAGCATCTCACTCTAAAGTAGTCTACTTTTACAGTTCTCCTAGGTCTAAACAGTTGAGTTTTACCATTTTAAAATACATTCAGCTAATCTTTGGGAACACTTTTAGCTTAGCTTAGCATAAATCATTGAATCGGATTAGACCATTAGCATCTCACTCGAAAATAGTCTAATTATTCAGTTCCCGTAGGGTTGAGCAGTTGAATTTTTGTATTTTTTGACAACATTCAGACAATCGTTGGGTCTGGCAGGGACACTTAGCTTAGCTTAGAATAAATCATTGAATCAGATTAGACCATTAGCATCTCACCCGAAAATAGCATAATTATACAGTTCCCCTAGGGTTGAACAGTTGTTTTAGCTTTTTTTTTTTTTTTTTAACAATCGTTGGGTCTTGCAGGGACACTTTTAGTTTAGCTTAGCATAAATCATTGAATCGGATTAGACCATTAGCATCTTACTCAAAAATAGTCTCATTGCACAGTTCCCATAGGGTTTAACAGTTGAGTTTTAGCATTTTTAAATACATTCAGCTAATCTCTATGAACACTTTTAGCTTAGCTTAGCATAAATCATTGAATTGGATTAGACCATTAGCATCTCACTCGAAAATAGTCTAACTGTTCCCCTAGAGCTAAACAGTTGAGTTTTACCAGTTTTAAATACATTCAGCTTATCTTTGGGAACACTTTTAGCTTAGCTTAGCATAAATCATTGAATAATTAGCTAAGCACAGATCATTGACTCGGGTTAGACCATTAGCATCTCACTCGAAAATAGTCTAATTATACAGTTCCCATTGGGTTGAGCAGTTGAGTTTTAGTATTTTTTGACAACATTCAGACAATCATTGGGTCTGGCAGGGACACTTAGCTTAGCTTAGAATAAATCGTTAAATCAGATTAGACCATTAGCATCTCGCTCGAAAATAGTCTAATAGTACATTTCCCATAGGGTTGACCAATTGTTTTGGCATTTTTTTAAAACAATCTTTGGGTCTGGCAGGGACACTTTTAGCTTAGCATAAATCATTGACCCGGATTAGATCATTAGCATCTCGTTCAAAAAATTGTTTAATCTTTCAGTTCCACTTAGGTTAAACAGTTGATTAACAGTTGTTAAACTGTTGTTTTTTACCATTTTTAAATACATTCAGCCAATCTTCAGGGCACTTTTAGCTTAGCATAAATCATTGACTCGGATTAGAACATTAGTGTCTCACTCAAAAATAGTCTAATTATAGAGTTCCCCTAGGGTTATACAGTTGAGTTTTAGCATTTTTAAATACATTCAGCCAATGTCTGGGAACAATTTTAGCTTCGCTTAGCATAAATCACTGAATCAGATTAGACCATTAGCATCTCACTCGAAAATAGTCTACTTTAACTGTTCCCCTAGGGCTAAACAGTTGAGTTTTAACATTTTTAAATACATTCAGCTAAACTTTGGGAACACTTTTAGCTTAGCTTAGCATAAATCACTGAATCAGATTAGACCATTAGCATCTGACTAAAAAATAATCTATACAGTTCTCATAGGGTTTAACAGTTGAGTTTTAGCATTTTTTTTTTTAAACATTCAGATGATCGTTGAGTCTGGCAGGAACACTTTTAGCTTAGCTGAGCGAGATGCTAATGGTCTAATCCGATTCAATTATTTATGCTAAGCTAAAATTGTTCCCGGAGATCATCTGAATGCATTTAAAAATGGCAAAACTCAACTGTTTAGCCCTAGGGGAACTGTACAATTAGACTAGTTTTGAGAAAGATGCTAATGGTCCAATCCGATTAAATGACTTATGCTAAGCTAAACTAAAAATGCTCCCACCAGATCCACAGATCGGCTAAATAAAAGTAAAAAAAATGGTGAAACTCAACTGTTTAAGTCTAGACAAGCTGCAAAATTAGCTTTTCTTTTAATGGCGTGATCATTTAAGACTTTATAATATGCCTCATTTCTCAAACAGAGCAAAAGTACATTCATTAATACATTTATTATTATTTTAGTCCATACTGAACAGATGTTTCTCAGTGCAAACAGCATCTGCATCCACATTTCTTGCTTAGAGCTTCACTGTGAAACAGGCGGTCCAAAAGCATCCATGGTTTCCATCACCAGAGACAAATGGTCCAAGAATGAACTGACAGAAACACGGAGAATACGAGCTTCATCTGCAGCCCAGCTCCTACATGACAAAAGGAGAAACCAGTTCCATTTAATATAGTGACATGTATTGCTGTAACCATCAGACCACTTACTGGAAAAGCACTTTATAATGTGTAAACTGGAGTGTTGGTCAGTTTCAAAATACTTTTTAAATTGTTTTCTTTTTATAATTGCTCAACTCAACACTAAAAATCCATACACACTCCCTGACTAAAGTCTTGTCGCCTGTCCAAGTTTTAGGAACTACAAATAATACCTTGACTTCTAGTTGGTCATTATCAGAAGTGGCTTACAGACTTTTGTGGGTGCTTATATGGGTGACTTATGGGTGCTTCACCCAGGGTGCCATTTAAACTAGAATCATGCTAATAACATGCTAATCCATGCTAGAAACATGTTAGTAACATGCTAATTCAGGCTAGAATCATGCTAATAACATGCTAATTCATGCTAGAAACATGTTAGTAACATGCTAATTCATGCTAGAATCATGCTAATAACATGCTAATTCATGCTAGAATTATGCTAGAATCATGCTAATAACATGCTAATTCTTGCTAGAAACATGTTAGTAACATGCTAATTCATGCTAGAATCATGTTAGTAACATGCTAATTCAGGCTAGAATCATGCTAATAACATGCTAATTCATGCTAGATACATGTTAGTAACATGCTAATTCAGGCTAGAATCATGCTAATAACATGCTAATTCATGCTAGAAACATGTTAGTAACATGCTAATTCAGGCTAGAATCATGCTAATAACATGCTAATTCATGCTAGATACATGTTAGTAACATACTAATTCATGCTAGAATCATGCTAATAACATGCTAATTCATGCTAGAATTATGCTAGAATCATGCTAATAACATGCTAATTCTTGCTAGAAACATGTTAGTAACATGCTAATTCATGCTAGAATCATGTTAGTAACATGCTAATTCAGGCTAGAATCATGCTAATACCATGCTAATTCATGCTAGATACATGTTAGTAACATGCTAATTCATGCTAGAATCATGCTAATAACATGCTAATTCATGCTAGAAACATGTTAGTAACATGCTAATTCAGGCTAGAATCATGCTAATAACATGCTAATTCATGCTAGAAACATGTTAGTAACATGCTAATTCATGCTAGAATCATGCTAATAACATGCTAATTCATGCTAGAAACATGTTAGTAACATGCTAATTCATGCTAGAATCATGCTAATAACATGCTAATTCATGCTAGATACATGTTAGTAACATGCTAATTCAGGCTAGAATCATGCTAATAACATGCTAATTCATGCTAGATACATGTTAGTAACATGCTAATTCATGCTAGAATCATGCTAATAACATGCTAATTCATGCTAGAAACATGTTAGTAACATGCTAATTCATGCTAGAATCATGCTAATAACATGCTAATTCATGCTAGAAACATGTTAGTAACATGCTAATTCAGGCTAGAATCATGCTAATACCATGCTAATTCATGCTAGATACATGTTAGTTACATGCTAATTCATGCTAGAATCATACTAGTAACATGGTAATTCATGCTAGAAACATGTTAGTAACATGCTAATTCATGCTAGAAACATGTTAGTAACATGCTAATTTAGTCTAGAATCATGCTAATAACATGCTAATTCATGCTAGATACATGTTAGTAACATGCTAATTCATGTTAGAATTATGCTAACAACATGCTGATTCTTACATGCTAATTCATGCTAGAATCATGCTTGCAACAAGCTAATCTGTGGTAGAATCATGCTACCAACATGCTAATTTATGCTAGAATCATGCTAACAACATGCTGATTCTTACATGCTAATTTATGCTAGAATCATGTTAACAACATGCTAATTTTTACATGTTAACTCATGCTAGAATCATGCTAACAACATACTAATTAATGCTAGAATCATGCTAGTAACATGCTAATTCATGCTAATTAATGCTAGAATCATGCTAGTAACATGCTAATTCATGCTAATTAATGCCAGAATCATGCTAGTAACATGATAATTCATGCTAAAATCATGTTAACATCCTGATTCTTACATGCAAATTCATTCTAAAATCATGCTAACAACATGCTAATTCATGCTAAAAACATGCTAGTAACATGCTAATTCATGCTAGAATCATGCTAATTCATGCTAGTAGCATGCTAATTCAAGCTAGAATCATGCTAATAACATGCTAATTCATGCTAGAATCATGCTAAAACATGCTAATTCATGCTAGAATCGTGCTAACAACATGGTAATTCATGCAAGACTCATGTTAATAACATGCTAATTCATGCTAAAAACATTCTAATTCATGCTAACAACATGCTAATTCATGCTAGAATCAGGTTAACAACATGCTAATTCATGCTAAAACATGATAGTAGCATGCTAATTCAAGCTAGAATCATGCTAGTAACATGCTAATCCTTGCTAGAAACATGCTAACATATATGTACTTATTTATGCCGTCTGTATTACACTTCATGAAGACTACTTTAGCTATTTACACTTTAAAACCACTTCAAACTTTCAGACTCCGCTTTTCAAGCCACCATAAAGTTTGTCCTCAAACTTTAATATCTAGTTGATCATTTGATAGCAGAAGTGGCTTATATGAAAGGCAAAAGCCTCTAGATTTTTTGACAGTAGGTCAATAAATAAGAAGTAATAATAAATAAATAAATTAGGTTCAACGCCGGTAAAGCAAACTGATGCATGCGCGCAGAAAACCATTCCCGTGCGCCTCACGCACTCCTGTGTAAATCCCGGTTGTTTGCACGTATGCAGATAAAATACGCAGCGCTCATGCGGCGTGAAACCGGAGTAACAGAATTTTGTGGGTGGTTATATGGGTGGTTCGCCCAGGGTGCCATTTAAACTAGAACCTCCACTGCCCTTCCCTATCGTCGTGGACAGCACGCACAGACCTTCAATAAACAGCAATGGCAATTTAATATTTACCTTATTTACCTTACCATCAATAGAAGAAGCTGCATTAATAATATTTTGGCTCAAAAAGGAATTTGGATAATTGATATTATTATGGTCTGTATAATAAATGTGTGTGTGTGTGTGTGTGTGTGTGTGTGTGTGTGTGTGTGTGTATGTATAATAATGCGTTTTGTTCAGTTTGTTCATTTGTTTGTTTTATTAATTAACTAATTAATCTTCATTAATTTTAGACATGGCGTATACTCTATGCTGTACAATAAAAGTATGTGAAAAAAACTGAAAAGTTATTTAAATATATTTGTAAAAAGTGTTTTTAAACTAAATTTTTTTTTTATTTTTATTTGGTTTGCACATGTACTTGCTGAATTATTTCAAGGAATAAATTGCAATATTTTGAGAGTAATTAATTAAATGAATTAAAACCATAATATTTTCATTTACCAGAAACAAAAATAAAACATTACACTGAATTCATTATTTTTTGTGTGGCACTCCAAGATTTGGTGCGACCCCTTCTGGCCACCCCTAAGAAAATATTCAGGGGGCGCCACTGGTAGTGTATGAGAATGACAGTGTATGGGTATTTCCCAGAGATGGGTTGCGGCTGAAAGGGCATTCGTTGAGAAACATATGCTGAAATAGTTGGTGGTTCATTCTGCTGTGGCAAACCCTGATGAATAAATGGACTAAGTCGAAGGAAAATAAATGAATGAACAAGTGAACTTGAACTATTCCAAACCGAAAGCTCTTGTTCATTAATCAACATTAGGCATCTATCACATTAAACGGGCTGGTGCTTTAAATTAAAACGAATTAGTCCCGTGTGGGAATGTGTGTCGACCTAAATTTAAGTCTGAATGAGGGCAACAATTCTGATCTTCACTCTTATTTCCCCAGTATAAACTCACACAGACAGCGTCTGTCCAGACACACACAGACTTTTGCTGATTCCTCCTTTCCTGGGTTCGGGATCTGGAGATAAAGACTGCAGAGCGATATTTGCCTCTCTTTCAGTCGGGAACGGGACTTTTAAGAAGCTGAAGTTTTGGAGTTAAAGTATTTTTATGGATTTTGGCAAATCTAATGAACTGCGCATGTCTGTTAGCGATTAAACACCGCGCGCAAACAGCAGGTAAGAGAATAAAACCCTTAACATAACTTACGACACAAAAGAAGAGTTCAAATGTGTTAAAAGTGGCTTATTTGTACAGCTAGAAAAGGCATTAAAAGGATACAACTCCAGTTTTCCATTTGCACCGTTTTCACTCATGCAAGCCGCCATTTTGGTTTGTTTTGTTGTTCTGCTTCAGATTAAAGGCGGCATTTTCGTCATTTTTTTATCAACTTTGTTTTCTTAAAGTCACATTCGACAAATTTGGGAGTACCTAACATTCAACCTATGCATTTAACCTATTTTAGTGAGCGTGATGATAGGTTAAAATTTAATAATTGCGATTATTTTTATTAATTTAGATTTTAAGCATCTAAGAACATATGAATAAATAAAAATAGCATTAAATTACATTTACTGAAGTTATTATATATACAAAATGTGTAAAAAAGCAGATTGGTGAATGTGTATAATGTAAAAATATGACTTAAATGATGTTCCGTTGTCATTTAGAGTAACATATGTGTTTTCACATGAAATGACATGCTTATTCTGACCTGCACTTATTAAAATGTCTAGTATTAACGAAAACAAAAAATGCTCCTTGCAGAATTATTGTCATTAAACGTCTCTTGCTCTAAAAACACCTTACAATGTTTATATATATATATAGTATTGAAAAAACAAACATTATTTAGTTAACAAACATAATTCTTCAAAATAAACTAAAAAGTTAAACATTTAAACAAGAACTTCTTCTAAAACAATGACTTCATATTCTATTTATGTTATACATTGTTATTCGTTTAATTAATTGATTAAACGTCCAATTGTCTTGAGATTTATAACCTACATTAGTTAAAAAATATGAAAATATAAATTTGTAATTATAAAGTATTTTACATTCAATCTATTTTAGTGTTAATTTTTTTACAGTATTTGATGTTATACTCGTGATGATAGGTTAAAAACAAATAATTGCAAATTATTTTTTTATATTTCAGATTTTAAAAGTCTATAGGGAAAAAAGCAGATTTGTAAATATGTATAATGTCAAATATGAGTCAAATGATCTTCCTTTGCATTTAGAGTAACATGATGCCCTTCCAGCTGCAACCCATCACTGGGAAACACCCGTACATTCTCATTTACACTCATACACTACGGACAATTTAGCCTACCCAATTCACCTGTACCACATGTGTTTGGACTGTGGGGGAAACCGGAGCACCCGGAGGAAACCCACGCCAACACGGGGAGAACTGGAAAACTCTGCACAGAAATGCCAACTGACCCAGCCAGGACTCAAACCAGCGACCGATATAAATAAATAAATAAATAAATAAATAAATAAATAAATAAATAAATAAATAAATAAATAAATAAACAAATAAATAATTGAAGTGTAACGTTATGTTGTTTATATCCAGGAAAACCCACATTGCATTTTCTGTTTAAAAGACATAAGAGCCACAAAAAAACACTTCGAAGCAGGCTGAGCTTAACTACTAATTTATGCGACATCGGAGAGAAAAATACAAATGAACATTTTATACAAACAAGTATTTATAACTAAGCAAATGAAAAATTTAATACATATTGTTATAAAATATCATAACAAACATAAAAGAGTAACTATCAATAATATAGGTAAATGAAACAAGTTACGAATAAGCTTTACCTTATCCGTCCTCCCCCGTGATGCTGCTCAGAGTTGGTATCGGCCAGCTGAAGCGGGAGGTATAAATATCCACTGCTCCCAGTCAATCTGTTTGACAGTGATCGCGGAGATGCAGGACACGCACAGTCGTTTCATAGGAACCTCGACCCAAACAACGGTTGAAGAAACCTGACGAAGCCTGTGACGGAAACAGTAAGTGTGCTTTTTTTAACGTAGTACTAAGATTGGATAACTCAAGTGTGTCAGAGTTGTTATTAGTATAGTCCACCTACGACATAAACCATCTAACGTTACTTTACATTATAAAACTAAATTAAAACGTTGAGAATGAGTTGGCTTTTAACGCCGTAACACGCTAAGTTAAACAGCAAATCGATAGATCTAAAGTGAGACTATGGATTTGTGATTTAAATTAAAGTTGTTAAGAGCTCATTGGTCTCATTTTTTTCAACTTTAGTTAACGTGTAATGCTGCTGTTTTAACATAAACATCATTATGACGCTTAAAAGTTAACTTTGTGGTATTTTCTTCTGGTAAAATTCGCTTTTTAAGGCCTAAAACAAAGGCTGATTGGCCCAAAAGCTTCATCCTGGGTTAGTGACTCCGACAAATGCCTAACGTTACAAACATTGCCCTCACTTTTCAATAAACAAATAAATAATCAGCCAGTCAGTATCAATATAGCCAAATATTGCTAATTGCATGTTTTAATCAGTTTGTGTAAACCGGCAAAATTAATGTTGTACCAACCTATTCTTAACTATTATGCAAAATAGACTTAAATACAAATGCATAATGACCTTAAATAATTACAATGGGACACTGAAATCACATTTCCTTTCACTGTGTAATTAAATAAATAAAAAATTAAGTTATAGTTAGAGTAATTGCATTTTGTAAAGAGGTTGTTCGAGGGCCTATATTATGAATATAGTTATTATATTTAATTAACAATATGGCGTCAACCAAATTCTTAATACATATAAATTATAATAATAATAATACAAAACTACGCAAAATAAATAAATAGCAATAGTAGTATTTGAGGTAAAGTTAGTTTTATATTATCACATTTGTTGAGTGGCAACTTGCTCCCTGATTGTTTATCATGCTACTTTGTTGGGTGTGAAATGGCGTGCAAGTATTACTTCAAAACAACATTAGCACTGTTAAATTGACTCTGAACAATATTGAACTTTGATAGTTGTTGGCTGCTAATATGATTTCACTATTTAGAAATAGCAGAGAATACTTTTCTGAAATTATATTATTAAGAAGAAAGTCTGAATGTGTGAATATAAACCAACTTTACCCCAATATAGTAGTATTATAGTAATCTATAGCAATCTAAAACAGGATATATCAAAATATGCTTAAAGGCTTTCAGAACACACTCAGCAGGTGATGGACTCGGTTTGTTTTCTGTCTGGATAATGATGAGTTGTTTCCCCCACACCAAGTCTATGGGACTGACCCTCTGCGTCAGGTGGGGTGACGCTCTCGCTCTGCTCAGTCACTTTTTCCATGGTCAATACCTGCCCAAACATCTCTCACTCTTCAGTGGAGTTCAGTGGTGAAGCTTCGATTGGTGGGTGACTGTAAGCCGGGGTCCAGTTCAGTTTCACTCTGGGCGGCTGATGTGTGTTCTGGAGGTGTAGTGATGATGAGGGTCAGAAGGATAACAGCTACTACATTTGGGTTAAATCTCCATTAAAAAGACAAATATTAACATTAATTGACTCGAATTCATAAATCTGCTCATATTCAGTTTGCTTTATAATCTTAACATCTGGCCTTCATAAAAATGAAAATAACAATCATTACTAAATGTAAGTGCGCATTAGAATTAGTTTGTGGTTAAGATTGGAAAATCTAAATCTAGCTTTTATCAAACATAGAGGTAAAGTTGGTTTTATATTTGCACATTTGTTCATTAAGAAGTCTTTATATTGTTTACCATTTTACTTTGAATATTCGATCGGAATTAGCATGCAGGTATGACTTGAAAACAACATTAACACTGTTTATTTGACTGTGAACAATGCTGTACTTTGATAGTCATTGGCTGCTAATAAAATTTCGCAATTTAGAGTTTGCAAATAATACTTTAATGAAATTATAATATTAAGGGGAAAGTCTGAATGTGCGAATATAAAACCAACTTTACCTCTATTTATCAAACTGCTCTCTCTTGACCAATCGTCACCTTTGACTAAGGTTCTGAATGATTTTGAGATATTAAGCTTCAAAGTATTTTCAGTCCGTAGCAAACAGTATGTGTGTAACATTTGTTGTTTAAATAAGAAGTCTTAATGTAAACAACTTATAAAAAACATTCTATAGTGTAAATAAGTTGTCGTTTAATAATAATATGTCAATATTTTGTCAATTATGACAAAAATGTCAGATAAAACCGTATAATTCTAATGTGACGCAATGTTAGGTAAGTTACTCCAAAAGTAATTACTAATTACATGATTTAAATTGTATTTAAATTACTATTCGGGTTTATCTGAAATGTAATGTAACTTAAATGTAAATGTAATGTGGAGTAACGTAATATTTCTCATGTCTTTGATTATTAGTAAAGTTGAATGTTTAAGTGCTGAGATTATATGAGGACCTTTAGTTGATTCTTTAGTTGAAACTGTTATGCTAAACCTGAGTAACAAAAAACATCTACAATTGCTGTGGTTTTCTGAATTTATATCCTGCATTATCATGAACTAATTTCTTAATTTTTTTGCCTAAAGCACGTGCAAAATAACTACTTAATGATATTGATAAATATGTGCAAATTTGAAAATAAATAAATAAATAAATGTAAATGTGTATTAGAAGTAGTTTGTTGTTGAGATTGGAAAAGAAAATACTGAATTAGTTCTCTTGGCAAAAAAAAACTGTTAATAGAATTTAAATAACGAAAAAGTTACAATAAGAATTGACAATGTTACAAAAAGATTGTTGGCATAATTATTTACTTTACATATGAAGTGAAAGGCTCCATGATAATGTCCGAGGCTCAGAGACACTCTCTCTGTTCAAAACCTGATGAAAGACCAATCTTTTTAGTAAAGCGTACACACAATGCATCACAAAATGGTATGATGTGTGCTCCATGTAGGTGAGTGAGCTTGATAAACCAGCTGTAGGACACACTCCTCCTGTCTTAATGCACCAGACAATTGTTAGAAATACTCATGCTTCTCATGTTTCTTCATATAACTGCTGTTTTCATTTATCATTAGAATTAGTTTGTGGTTAAGATTGGAAGATCTAAATCTAGCTTTTATCAAACATAGAGGTAAAGTTGGTTTTATATTTGCACATTTGTTCATTAAGAAGTCTTTATATTGTTTACCATTTTACTTTGAATATTCGATCGGAATTAGCATGCAGGTATGACTTGAAAACAACATTAACACTGTTTATTTGACTGTGAACAATGCTGTACTTTGATAGTCATTGGCTGCAAATATGATTTGGCAATTTAGAGTTTGCAAATAATACTTTAATGAAATTATAATATTAAGGGGAAAGTCTGAATGTGCGAATATTAAACCAACTTTACCTCTATTTATCAAACTGCTCTCTCTTGACCAATCGTCACCTTGGATTTATAAGGTTCTCTCTGCGTTCTGAATGATTTTGAGATATTGAGCTTCAAAGTATTTTCAGTTCGTAGCAAACAGTATGTGCGTAACATTTGTTGTTTAAATAACTAGCCTTAATGTAAACAACTTATAAAAAACATCCTATAGTGTAAATAAGTTGTCGTTTAATAAGAATATGTCAATAACTCAATTTTGACAAAAATGTCAGATAAAACCTTATAATTCTAATGTGACGCAATGTTAGGTGAGTTACTCCAAAAAGTAATTACTAATTACATGATTTAAATTGTATTTAAATTACTATTCTGGTTTATCTGAAATGTAATGTAACTTAAATGTAAATGTAACGTGGAGTAACGTAATATTTCTCATGTCTTTGATTATTAGTAAAGTTGAATGTTTAAGTGCTGAGATTATATGAGGACCTTTAGTTGATTCTTTAGTTGAAACTGTTATGCTAAACCTGAGTAACAAAAAACATCTACAATTGCTGTGGTTTTCTGAATTTATATCCTGCATTATCATGAACTAATTTCTTAATTTTTTGCCTAAAGCACGTGCAAAATAACCACTTAATGGTATTGATAAATATGTGCAAATTTGAAAATAAATAAATAAATGTAAATGTGTATTAGAAGTAGTTTGTTGTTGAGATTGGAAAAGAAAATACTGAATTAGTTTCTCTTGGCAAAAAAAAACTGTTAATAGAATTTAAATAACGAAAAAGTTACAATAAGAATTGACAATGTTACAAAAAGATTGTTGGCATAATTATTTACTTTACATATGAAGTGAAAGGCTCCATGATAATGTCCGAGGCTCAGAGACACTCTCTCTGTTCAAAACCTGATGAAAGACCAATCTTTTTAGTAAAGCGTACACACAATGCATCACAAAATGGTATGATGTGTGCTCCATGCAGGTGAGTGAGCTTGATAAACCAGCTGAGAGACACACTCCTCCTGTCTTAATGCACCAGACAATTGTTAGAAATACTCATGCTTCTCATGTTTATTCATATAACTGCTGTTTTCATTTATAGCACTTTGTTTTTGCCTTTATTTAATATCTCATGTTTAAATACGCTATGAACAGCAGCTACGCTAATTATATTTTTATTCTCTATTTCCACCTGGGGATTCTCATCCCGAGACCTCTAGAGATTGTGACCTGTAAAGAGATGATGGCAACCATAGAGGACTCCTAGAGGTATCCATAGTCCTGGACCAGGCCGTATCCTGAGCAGATGCTGTGGTGGTCATGGAGGAGTGAAGAGCGTGAGACTGATTGCTGAAAGACCCTAGTGCAGAGCTATTCAATTGGCGGCCCAAACAAAGTACTAAGATTGGATAACTCAAGTGTGTCAGAGTTGTTATTAGTATAGTCCACCTACGACATAAACCATCTAACGTTACTTTACATTATAAAACTAAATTAAAACGTTGAGAATGAGTTGGCTTTTAACGCCGTAACACGCTAAGTTAAACAGCAAATCGATAGATCTAAAGTGAGAATATGGATTTGTGTTTGAAATTAAAGTTGTTAAGAGCTCATTGGTCTCATTTTTTCAACTTTAGTTAACGTGTAATGCTGCTGTTTTAACATAAACATCATTATGACGCTTAAAAGTTAACTTTGTGGTATTTTCTTCTGGTAAAATTCGCTTTTTAAGGCCTAAAACAAAGGCTGATTGGCCCAAAAGCTTCATCCTGGGTTAGTGACTCCGACAAATGCCTAACGTTACAAACATTGCCCTCACTTTTCAATAAACAAATAAATAATCAGCCAGTCAGTATCAATATAGCCAAATATTGCTAATTGCATGTTTTAATCAGTTTGTGTAAACCGGCAAAAATAATGTTGTACCAACCTATTCTTAACTATTATGCAAAATATACTTAAATACAAATGCATAATGACCTTAAATAATTACAATGGGACACTGAAATCACATTTCCTTTCACTGTGTAATTAAATAAATAAAAAATTAAGTTATAGTTAGAGTAATTGCATTTTGTAAAGAGGTTGTGCGAGGGCCTATATTATGAATATAGTTATTATATTTAATTAACAATATGGCGTCAACCAAATTCTTAATACATATAAATTATAATAATAATAATACAAAACTACGCAAAATAAATAAATAGCAATAGTAGTATTTGAGGTAAAGTTAGTTTTATATTATCACATTTGTTGAGTGGCAACTTGCTCCCTGATTGTTTATCATGCTACTTTGTTGGGTGTGAAATGGCGTGCAAGTATTACTTCAAAACAACATTAGCACTATTAAATTGACTCTGAACATTATTGAACTTTGATAGTTGTTGGCTGCTAATATGATTTCACTATTTAGAAATAGCAGAGAATACTTTTCTGAAATGCTATTATTAAGAAGAAAGTCTGAATGTGTGAATATAAACCAACTTTACCCCAATATAGTAGTATTATAGTAATCTATAGCAATCTAAATCAGGATATATCAAAATATGCTTAAAGGCTTTCAGAACACACTCAGCAGGTGATGGACTCAGTTTGTTTTCTGTCTGGATAATGATGAGTTGTTTCCCCCACACCAAGTCTATGGGACTGACCCTCTGCGTCAGGTGGGGTGACGCTCTCGCTCTGCTCAGTCACTTTTTCCATGGTCAATACCTGCCCAAACATCTCTCACTCTTCAGTGGAGTTCAGTGGTGAAGCTTCGATTGGTGGGTGACTGTAAGCCGGGGTCCAGTTCAGTTTCACTCTGGGCGGCTGATGTGTGTTCTGGAGGTGTAGTGATGATGAGGGTCAGAAGGATAACAGCTACTACATTTGGGTTAAATCTCCATTAAAAAGACAAATATTAACATTAATTGACTCGAATTCATAAATCTGCTCATATTCAGTTTGCTTTATAATCTTAACATCTGGCCTTCATAAAAATGAAAATAACAATCATTACTAAATGTAAGTGCGCATTAGAATTAGTTTGTGGTTAAGACTGGAAGATCTAAATCTAGCTTTTATCAAACATAGAGGTAAAGTTGGTTTTATATTTGCACATTTGTTCATTAAGAAGTCTTTATATTGTTTACCATTTTACTTTAAATATTCGATCGGAATTAGCATGCAGGTATGACTTAAAAACAACATTAACACTGTTTATTTGACTGTGAACACTGCTGTACTTTGATAGTCATTGGCTGCTAATATGATTTGGCAATTTAGAGTTTGCAAATAATACTTTATTGAAATTATAATATTAAGAAGAAAGTCCAAATGTGCGAATATAAAACCAACTTTACCTCTATTTATCAAACTGCTCTCTCTTGACCAATCGTCACCTTGGATTTATAAGGTTCTCTCTGCGTTCTGAATGATTTTGAGATATTGAGCTTCAATGTATTTTCAGTTCGTAGCAAACAGTATGTGTGCAACATTTGTTGTTTAAATAACTAGCCTTAATGTAAACAACTTATAAAAAACATCCTATAGTGTAAATAAGTTGTCGTTTAATAAGAATATGTCAATAACTCAATTATGACAAAAATGTCAGATAAAACTTTATAATTCTAATGTGACGCAATGTTAGGTGAGTTACTCCAAAAAGTAATTACTAATTACATGATTTAAATTGTATTTAAATTACTATTCTGGTTTATCTGAAATGTAATGTAACTTAAATGTAAATGTAACGTATTATTTCTCATGTCTTTGATTATTAGTAAAGTTGAATGTTTAAGGGCTGAGTCATCTTCTCATCAGTGACATGCATCTAAACAGTCTCTGGGTCAATGCGTGTGAAGAATTTGGACATCTTCTTGTACACTTTTAATGCTTCCAAACAGTTTGCTTCAATAATAAAGTGCACGTTTTGAGGTAATGGTGGGTATCGTTTGGTGTTATTTCAATACCGGTGCTTAATCAATACTTTTAAAATGGTACCGGTGCCAAAACGGTGCATGAACCGACACTTTTTAGCCACAAAATTATTTGACAAAAAATATTATATTTTAATAATTAGAATTGAACAATATAAATATATATTTATAAGTTTAAAGTAAACATCAACTCATATATTATATATTTGAATTGCATTAATATATTTCTTTTGATCAACCCTATTTTGAGGTAGTTCATTATGATGCGATTGACCTTCTACGTGTGATTTGATTGGACAGGAGTCACAGGACTGATTTTAATAATTCCCATAGACAAAAAAATAATAAAGTAGTGACTGCAGGATGAAGGAAAGTAGTGGAGTAAAAGTACAGATGCAGCACTAAAAATGTACTTAAGGAAAAGTAAAAAGTAAAGTAAAAACTACTCAAATACAGTAATTTGAGTATGTGTAATCATTTACTTTACACCACTGCTAGTGACAGACAAATCTGTGCATTGATCATCCTTAACACCCGCCGGTGACCTACTCAGACCTGCAGTTTCTCCATGTTGGGCGTTCAGCTTTCTCCAGCATCCGACGCCTAATCTGAAGCCTAATCTGAAGCTCTGCACAAGACGTTTGGCTATAGGAGACAGTGTTTCCTCTAGGATTATTTCCAGCTGTGGCGGCAGGCCTTTTTTTTTACACAGATCTACTAACCTGTGGCGTTATTTCAACGACAAATGTCATGAGCGCAGCATTAGAAGTCGAGATCGTGTTTATGTAATAGCCTGCAGCATGCGGATCTCTTTGCTTGCGCGCTGATTTCCTCTGCTCGTGCACAAAACTTCTTGCACGCTGCCTCAAATATAAGCCGCTTCAAGAGCGCGCAGATCTTCTTGTGCCCTCTCAAAGAAACTCTGCTGAAGTTTGATTTAGCGCGTTTATCTAACGAGTATGTCTCCAGCATTTATTAGATTTGCTAGGAGTATGTTTCTAATACACCTACAGAGAGTCTTAATGCGTCCTGAAGTAAAGTGAAACGGCTGTACGTCGTGTTTGCTGGCTAGTTACAGAAAAGCTTGCGCTGTTATCATTCACTTACCTTTTAATACGTTTTGGTGCATTTATAACCCGCTGTTAAAAAAAATCTAATGTTTTGAATGAGAAGCTGTAATGTAGCCATGGCGGGATGAAGAATGAATGTAGCCGAAACCAAGGGAGAAATGGTGGTGTTGGACTGAGCCTGGTTTCTTTCAAGGTTTTTTCCTTCACTTTGGTCAATTGGTGAAGTTTGTTCCTCCACTGTCGCCACTGACTTGCTTGGTTTGGGATCTGTAGAGCTGCGCATTGATGGATTTACTCTTCAGTGTTTGAACTCTCAGCAGTGATTATTAAACCACACTGAACTTCAACTCTGAAAACTGAACTGACACTGTTTCAATCTACTATAATCTTCTGTTAGGCTGTTTTGACACAATCTACATTGTAAAAGCTGTAAAAGACATTGTAAAAAGTCTTTCTGTGGCTGTTTATGTCTACCTGAATCGTGTTTGTAATAAATCATTTGACAGATGTTTTGTAATTGAAATTCTTTTGCAGGGTTTCAGTAACTTTGACTGTTTTCCAGAAGACACTGATGATCCTCTGGCTGATGAAGAGTCCGGCTGGGACTTCTGATCAATCATCGATCATTTTAGTCCAATTTATACAGAAAATCTTGAACTGCAACATGAAAGATAAAAAAAACAAAAACAAATCATTGCTATTTTATATTTATTGTAATTTTATTATGCATGCATGCATGTACGTATTCTGTTTATTAATTCATAATTTTTTTTCTTTAGCTTTAAAGAAATGGGCATTGTCTGTTGGTGTGTTTCAATGCATTTTGTGATTAATAGGTAAAATGTTAATAAAAAGATGCAAAAAAAAGAGTGGGTGATTTCTCCATATTTTACATTTCTGTCCAGAGAGGTCATGTTTTGATCTTCGATTGGTCTCACGCAGTCACGCGATGCAATTTTGCAGGTAAGAGTTTACCAAGCTTGAACTTTGCAATGCAGTGAACTGTGAAACTTGTCGCACGAGCTTGCGTTTCCAGTCTGATGCATGCATGTGCGTATGAATGGAAATCTATGGGGAGAAAATACATAAAAATGTGAAATATGAAGCAATCAAAAGGGGAAAGTGACAAAATTGAGAAAACAAAGAAATGTGTGGGAAAAGTGAGGGCAAAATGCAAAAATAAAAAATTCTAACTAAATATGTGAACTGTGATGGGGAAAAGGTCAAAGATTTGGTCAATAAAATGTCAGGAACAAAAAGGTTTTAGAAAAAGGAGGGAAAATGGAAGATCTTAAGAAAAAATTATCTGAAAAGTGAGGAAAAAACAGCAAAAATCTCAGAAATGCGAGGGAAATATTAGATATTTGAGTAAATATGTCTGAAAAAAATGTTACAAATGTGAGAAAAACTGTGGGTGAAATTTAAAAAGATGTGAATTAAAAAATGGCCAGAAATGTAAGGGAAAATAAAAATTTGAAAAGTTTTTTTTTTTTTTAAATCTGAAAGTGACAAAATTGAGAAACTGTGTGGGAAAAGTGAGGGCAAAATGCAAAAATAAAAAATTCTTACTAAATATGTGAACTGTTAAGGGAAAAATGTCAACGTTTTGGTCAATAAAATGTCAGAAAAATCAAAAATGTAAAAAAAAATGTTTTAGAAATGTGAGGGAAATGGAAGATTTTTGGAAAAAAAAAATTATCTGAAAACGGCAAAAATCTCAGAAATGCAAGGGAAGTATATTGGACATTTGAGTAAATATGTCAGAAAAAAATGTTACAGATGTGAGAAGAAAAAAAGTCAGAACTGAGAGTGAAATTTGAAAAGATGTGAACAAAAAATGGCCAGAAATGAGGGAAAATGTAAATTTGAAACAAGTTTCCAGAAATTTAAGGAAAAATGGCAGATTTTTTGAGAAATAAAAGGAAAAAATTAGGCAAAAATCTCAGAAATGTGAGAGAAATACATCTTACAGTTGAGGACATGTATTAGACTTTTTTTTTTTTTTTTTTTACAAATGTGAGGGGAGAACGTGATAACTGAAAAAAAAAAGTTAATAAAAAAAATCAGAAAAATGAGGGAAAATGTTAAAAATGCGATTTAAAAATGTCAGAAAAATAAGAATTTTGAGACCAAAAAAAGTCAAACGTGGGGGGGGGTTTGTCAGAATTACATGATACTGTTCTAACTGCAAAAACTGTATGTCAGACCTGTGAGGAAAAAGTAAACGTGAGCTAAAAACCCTTCTTTTAAAAATCCCTTAATTGTGAATTTATTGAAATTGCAGCACTTACTTGATATAGGCGATCATATTTATTACGATTCTGAGTTACAAACTTGGAACTGCAAGAAAGGCTGACATGCGAGAGAAAAACTCAGTTACTAATAACTTTTCATTTCATTGTGCAAACAAGCATGAAGAATCCCTTCATTAGCGTCTCGATTCATAACTGAAACATGAGGAGACTCCGCCAGCAGAATCTAGAGGAAATCACATTGAGACAGTACAGTACAGTATATACAGATATATATAATCTCAACTCTACAGTCACTCAGACCTGCTGTCATCACATCACCCACATCAAAAATACTATAGTAATTCGTAGTAAATCCTCTAGTGTTTTAGATCATACTGTAGTGAAGCACTTAAATTAATCTGGTGTGGTGATCAGAATCAACGCAACAGATTAATTAGTTTATATTGCTGCAGCTTTTGGAATACCATAGCAACTATACAACATAATCTGTTGTAGTGATTGTATAGTTGCCATGGTAACTAAAAAACAACAATATAAACAAATAAATCTGTTTTCGTAATTCTCTAGTTTCTAAAGAAACCATACAATTACTAATATAAACAAAACAATCAGTTGTGGTGATTCTACAGTTACTTTGGTAACCTAAAAACCACAGTAAGTTAATCAAAGTAATCAGTTGTGGTGATTCTACAGTTGCTATGGTAACACACCAACTACAGTAAACAAATTAATCTGCTGTGGTGATTCTGTAGTTGCCATGGTAACACAACAACGGCAGCAATATAAACAAAGTAATCAGTTGTGGTGATTCTACAGTTGCTATGGTAACACACCAACAACAGTAAACAAATTAATCTGCTGTGGTTATTCTGTAGTTGCTATGGTAACACAACAACTGCAGCAATATAAACAAAGTAATCAGTTGTGGTGATTCTAGAGTTGCTATGGTAACACACCAACAACAGTAAACAAATTAATCTGCTGTGGTGATTCTGTAGTTGCCATGGTAACACAACAACGGCAGCAATATAAACAAAGTAATCAGTTGTGGTGATTCTACAGTTGCTATGGTAACACACCAACTACAGTAAACAAATTAATCTGCTGTGGTGATTCTGTAGTTGCCATGGTAACACAACAACGGCAGCAATATAAACAAAGTAATCAGTTGTGGTGATTCTACAGTTGCTATGGTAACACACCAACAACAGTAAACAAATTAATCTGCTGTGGTTATTCTGTAGTTGCTATGGTAACACAACAACTGCAGCAATATAAACAAAGTAATCAGTTGTGGTGATTCTAGAGTTGCTATGGTAACCTAACAACCTAGCTACAGTATTATAAACGAATGACCCAATCCTATAGTTTTTTACAACTGTAGGGTATATTATACTACAATACACCAGTTAACTGTTGTAAAAACTAAAGTATACTACAGTATTATTACAGTTGATCAGTTCCCTATAGTTAATATTACAGTATGCTGGAGCAGTCTTTATTGAAGAGTTGTAAATAATATAGTACTTGCAGTATAATGCACTTCACTACAGTATAATTGAAAAACACTGTAGTATTTTCTCATGTGGCATACTGTATATTTATGTGATCTGATTCACAGCAGTCATTACAGGTACAGTAATAAAAATAAAGCGTTATTGGCTAAAAATGCACAGCGATCTGTTCAGACAGGTTCAGTTTAATTCTTGAACAGCTTTTGTTGTTCTTCAGTGGCAGGTCAGGAAAACACTTCTAACTAAACCACACTACTTAGGGGTCATTTACATAGGAGACTTCTTCGCATCAAAAAATGTGAGACGTGGCACTTAGGAATGTTTTATAAAACTAACAAAAAGCACCTCCTCCGCCATGGTCCTGTAAAATAAACAGTTGTCATGCCAACTTGCGAGTGTAAATAGAAGCTTTCAACATTTCTGATTGGTCCACCGCTTTGGAAATGACATCGATGAGTGGTGCTGTGTAAAAGGTTCAACTCTTCATTTGACACAGCATCCTAATAGCACAACACACATTCAAGATGTGAATGTAATGCTGCATTCACAGCAGATGGGGCTAAAGCGGCAAGCGCGAGTCATTTAGTCAATGCAAAGATGCAAATAGACATCCTCCGGCACAATATGCACGTTGTTATAGCACGATTTGAACGATTAACATGTTTTTTGGGGGGTTTTTTTTATATTTTTTGGGGGGTTTTCACCTTAATTAGACAGGACAGTTGAGAGAATTGACAGGAAAGCATGGGACGCAGAAAGATCGGCATAGGACTGCAAGGCGGAATCGAACTCGGGTCGCCGTGAACACCAGAGTGCATGTGTCGACGCACTAACCACTACATCACTGGCGCCAACAGCGATTAACATGTTTAATATGCGTATCTCGTGTTTTACACAAATCGAAGTTGAAAAATTTGAATTGTAATGGACATTCACACCACGTTAACCAATCATGAGCTTTTCATGGTAGGGCCGTGATTATGACGTAGCTAAATTCCTCCTGCTAACACCGGACAACAGTTCATCAAACTGGGCTTGGCTCAGTCTGAAGCACCACTGAAAGCTCTATCATCCAGCTATAGTTTCTGGAGGAGTTGATGAACTCATAGAGTTGGGTGCACCTCTGAAAGGATCTAGAGGACTATACAAGGCTCCAAACGAATCTACGCTGTTTTTCAGCCTTCCTAAAGCACATTAAGCACAGCTACTATCTTAATAAAATCCATGTTAGCCATTTAGCCACGAAGCTAGAGTCAGAGGGCAGACAGAATTCGCAGAAGTGAAATTGACGAGCAAATGAAGAGAGTAAACTCAAAACTCAAAATGTTCAAGCATATATTTATGCGCAAATATCACAATTTATTTGTGCGTTCTGCGTCTGGTGTGAACACAACAGTCATGCAAGTCTATCTAGAGCGTTAGAAAGATGGAAAAGTAGCACTTTTGAATGGAAAAATGTGTTTTGTGTAAATGACCCTTAAGCTAATTACTTATAATTAACTTGAAATAGTTCAAATCTTAGGAATCTCTTTTGGCCTTGATGTCAAATGTGTGACGAAAACATATTTTTTGGTGAATAAAATAAAGCTTCAAATTTAAAGCTTAAAATGTTTATTTTAAAACATTTAAATTATTAAATAGGCAAACTAAATTGATGCTAAAGGTAAAAAAAAAATGTATATATGTGATAAAATTTGTTTTATAATAATTAATATAATTAATAAAACAAAAACTATATTATATATAAAAAAATAGCCAATCACAGTCTTATCTGATGAGCATGTGAACCAATGGCCAATCAGAAGTGTTTAAGCCCTACTATAGTAATTTATAGTAAATACTAGCGTTTTTCAACCAATATATATATATATATATATATATATATATATATATATATATATATATATATATATATATATATATATATATATATATATATATATATATATATATATATATATATATATATATATATATATATATATATATATATATATATATATATATATATATATATATATATATATATATATATATATATATATATATATATATATATATATATATATATATATATATATATATATATATATATATATATATATATATATATATATATATATATATATATATATATATATATATATATATATATATATATATATATATATATATATATATATATATATATATATATATATATATATATATATATATATATATATATATATATATATATATATATATATATATATATATATATATATATATATATATATATATATATATATATATATATATATATATATATATATATATATATATATATATATATATATATATATATATATATATATATATATATATATATATATATATATATATAAA